ATGAGAAAGAGTCATCAATCAGCTGCCTCTTGCACGCCTCCCACTGGGGATGTGCCTGCAACCAAGGTACATGCCCTTGACTGGAATTGAACCCGGGACGCTTCAGTCCGCAGCCTGGTGCTCTATCCACTGAGCCAAACCAGTTTCGGCCCATGGAATTATCTTAAGGTAGTCCTATAAGTTAAATTTCCAGCCAAGATTCCAAGTTAGTTTTAGGAGTTGCTTTTCATCTGCAATATGATTAACAGCTGTAAAGAACCCAGCTTGGAGAGGGGCACTTGGAGGCCCCTCCTTCACTGAGTGCTTACGACCAATAATACGGGCACCCACACAGTATGGCCCCGTGGATGGCGTGAAAAGTCAAGGAATGGATGAAGGGGTGGGCAGATCATAGACTTTTAACTACTGGCTAGCTACATGAGATATTTTGAGTGTGAATGAATAGATGCACAATAAGTGATTTCCATTTAAGCTACTATCTATACTTACATTTCAGACAACTGGTTTTTCATGATAAAGAGATCAGCTGACTCCAGAGGAAGAATCCCATTTATGTTGTGTAAAGAGAAAGACATTTCCCAAATGTTAAGGTGAAAAAAAGGTTAATTCCTGAAATTTTGTGCCCCTTTCCCACCCCTCCTTCATTAAGACAAAAAATTGCTTGAGATCATTTCTCATAATTCAGCCTGAAATGAAGGGGCAATGGAGGTATTTCTATTAGTTGCTGTAACTTTTTATTCGGGCCATCAAGCTTCTTTTCTTCAAAGTAAAGGAATCCTATGGCTTCCCCGACTCCAAACTAAAAATGGCAGCAGTGAAACCCATTTGCTATTTTAGAAAATGACTAATAAGACACATATTTCATAGTATCATGTGATTCAAACAACTTAATACAAGTGATTAAAACCACTTCTGCGGTTATTCTAAAATGGCAGTCAGAGTTGCTTTTAAAAATCTTTCATTTTCCAGGCCACATTCACATGAAAAAAAAAAAAAAATCCTTTTCATGCTCCGTGAGGAGGGAAGGAAGTAGCATTGACCGACACAGTGCAAGAAGGTAAAAGGGAAATCTTCAGTGAAACAACCGCATCAGGAATTAGACTCTGTCTCTAAGGGGGATTCTCTAGTCGTGTTATCCGGAAACACACGGAAATGTTAGAACATGAACATAGAAAACAGCCATCACGTTAGCTAAAATGTTCGTTAAAATGTTTCCAAATTGCAGAGCGCAATAGAAACCTTCCTAATGACCCACATTCTGAAATGTTTCAGGTAATGGTAATGGAATGTATTAGGTGAGTAGAGTTATTTTGCTTATTTTACTAAGGGCTTGCCTTCTTGTAAGATAAGTTGGCCAATTCAAATAGATCCGTAAGTCTAAGAAACTCTTGAACAGACTATAAATTATATGTATCCACTGGCCTGGAAATTCCACCCTTGACATTTCTGGTTTTGTTGCCCATCTGGGGGCCCGAAGATAGGACGCAGGCAGAGCCGAGTGGCTTGGTGTCCTCTCAACCCTACAATCAGAAACGGGCTGGCACGGAGGGGACCGCAACCACTGGGCAGGGATCAGGGTGAGGTGAGGAGACGGAGTTGGCAACTGCAGGGTAGGAGCCAGTCTTTATTTAAAATGCTGCTATTGTGTTCACTATGGATTTCTAACTTCGCATTAGAAATGTTGGTTCTTAAGGTATTGCATCCCTGGGTGTTTTGGCCCCCACTGAAATTGGGCTCCCCATATATATCTTCCTCACTCCCTCACCCTGGTCCCAGCTCTGCTCCAGCACTGGGGCTCCGGGTGCCAGCGGAGCCTGGGCTCCCCTGGGACACAGCCTTTCCTCCTAGCACCTCCGCTCTGATGGGCCAGGCAGGGCTCCCTAGGAACCACGGCTCCTGCCTGCACAGACGGAGGGAAGGACTCAGACCAGCATCCTCTTGGCCTCCCGGGGACTCCTGGAGCGTCAGGGGGCAGCTCTCAGCTGGTGACACCGGCCGTGGAGCTGTGCTCTCCCTCCGGGGCCTCAGTGTGTGGCCAGGAGCCACAATGACACAGGCATTCATGCCCCCGGCGTGGATTTAGCGGGAGAAACGAGGAGAGTTACACACTCACCCCAAAAGCGTGAAGAACCCCTGCAAAGCATGCGAAGTCAGATAAAAAGTGAGAGGCTTGGTGTACAGATACTGGAAACCCGACACAGCTCTCCTAAGCCACGGAACAGGCGGGGTTACGTGTGGCAGAGCTCAGCTAACCCTGAGGGCACCCTTCTGTTCTTGAAGAGAACAAAATGGCACTTTGGTCCTATTGCTGAACTTCTCCTCAGACTTGCTGGTATCTGTCTCCTGTCTCCTCCCAAAAGACACGCTGACAGCTGACAGCGTAGGCAGGGCCAGTCGCTGCCCCTCATGGAGAACCTGAGGCCGGCCTCCTCTCTGCGGGTGTTGGAGAAGAGAGGAGTGAAGGGCCTGAGGCTGACTAACCCGGTGTTCACTCTTATTCCTGCCCCCCTCCTTCCCAGAAGCGGGTGGGGGGAGGGGATTGAGGGAGAGTTACTCTCACAGGGTTAGGGGGAGTGGGAAGAAGCCTGACTTCCGGCTTTTGCTACAGCTAGAATCATGAGGCCCTGGTGGTCTCCTCTCCTCCGGAGGGATACGCAAAGACCAAATGCAATGTCTTTCATTTTAGCAAGTAGTCTCATCATAGGAACGTCCGGAAACACCAAGTGCACAGGCTGCCGCTCCATCATCCTCCGTCGATGTCAACTTTGGACACTTTTTGGAAGCTGGAAGCTAAAGCTCCAGGTAATAAAAGCTCCCAAAAGGAAAGAAGGGAAAAGTTAGGGACATGCATCTGATTAAGAAGCTCTCAAAATTATCTGCTGGCATTAGACGGGTACTGGTTTTTAGGTATGAATGTGACTATATGTCTACCTTATACATTTCTATGCAGATTCAGTAGGAAACATGCTTAAATATATACTTAATTCCATAGGATCCCAAAGCACTTGAGGATTTAAACTGATAAGCCAACCTCAAAGGGACTGATTCCTGCTACTAAAACACAGACACCTCTGGGGTGAAATGTGGCAACAGTTTGACAGGCATAGCAGTAGCTCAGGCCAGAAAGGATTTATCCAATTAAAATTATGGGATGAATTTTGGCTGGCAGAATGTAATTACCAGCCTTGGACCGGATCCAGGATCCTGAGGTTAACACCCCGCCTCTTGCCAACAACCCTCCTACCTGCCAACACTCGGAGATGGGGAAGGCAGGATCTGACACAATCGCACATAATACTGTTGTGACATCTAAGTACAATGATGATGATGTGAGAAGCATCATGAACCTGTTTTTTTTTTTTTTAGCACTCATTATGTTACTTATTTTTATGCCACATTAGGCTAGAAACCAAATGTCCACATAAATGTTAATTTCCTCAAGTCTGTGTTTAAAAAGTATAATTAGAAAATAAAAAATAGATTTAAAAATTAATTTATTCTGTCAAAGTAGTTATTTAGTGATTATTGCAGTTTAGAAACGAAATTGGATCAAAACGGTGACATTTAATCGTTGCTGCATTAAGAAAAGCACACACACACACACACCCGTCCTGAATTTTTGGAAGAGAAATGTGTTCTCCAAGGGCACTGGCCTAGAAAAAGGGAAATGCCTAAGCTTGGTTCACAGCGGTTGAAACTTGGACTAAACGGTCCTGTGCAAGGACTGCTTTGTCCGGCGTCCTAGTGCTCGGGCAGGCGCTGAGGCATTGGAGGGGGGTGCAGTGTTTCTGGGGGGCGCTGAGGCATTGGCCCGGGGGTGCAGTGTTTCTGGGGGGGGGGGCGCTGAGGCATTGGACTGGGGGTGCAGTGTTTCTGGGGGCGGCGCTGAGGCATTGGACGGGGGTGCAGTGTTTCTGGGGGGCACTGAGGCATTGGACGGGGGTGCAGTGTTTCTGGGGGGCACTGAGGCATTGGACTGGGGGTGCAGTGTTTCTGGGGGGGGGCGCTGAGACATTGGACGGGGGTGCAGTGCTTCTGGGGGGCACTGAGGCATTGGACGGGGGTGCAGTGCTTCTGGGGGGCACTGAGGCATTGGCCCGGGGTGCCTGTGCGCAGGGACCGGAGAGGAGCCCCGGAGGGTCTGGCCAGCGGTCATGGCCTCGCCTTGGACCCGATGCCCTTTTAGCTGCCAGCCCTTCCCCAGGGGGAGCCGTGCGGACTCCCCGTGGACCGGGAGCGGCAGCGGCGGGCCGGCCGTGCCAAGGAGGACGCCCGCTCTCTGGCCGCGGGCGAGGCCGGCCCGGGTCACGGTCACGGTCACGGTCACGGTCACGGTCGGCCACGGCGGGAGCGCGCGCGGGGGCGGGGCTGGCGGCGGAAGCGGCGGCGGCGGCGGCGATCAGGCTGGGGCCGCCCCTCCCGTCGCCTGGCTCTCCGCGCGCAGGTCGGTTCCCCCCAAACCGCGGGTCGGCTTGGCGGCCACGGGTTCGAGCCGGGCCCTGGCGGGGCCACCCGCCCGCAGACCACACACCGGGCTCCGGGAGGACCCGGCGGGGCGGCCGGGATCGTGCCGAGCCCCTGGGTTCCTCTGGGCCCGCGGGCCCCGGACCTCCGCGCAGGACCCGGGGCGGGGGTGCGGCCCCGGCCCTGCCCCGGCGCGCGCGGCCCTCTGCGGCCCTGGACGTGCCCCGGCGGGCGGGGTCTGGAAGGGGGCGGTCAGGACCCCCTGCCCCCGGCGTTGCAGGGCTTGCCCTGGCCCCTGGGTTGGATTGGGGGGGAGGGGCAGCCTTCCCCTCCCCTAACCAGCCGTCCGCTCCCCAAAGCCGGCCGGCGATCCCGGCGTGTGCGGGGAGGTGGCTTCCCAGCACCGTCCTGTGTGCCAGCGTCCGCGGGGAATCAGACGTGGAGGGAGAAGAGGACACTAATCCTCTCCCAGCACTGCTCGGGGCTGCCATAAACACCATTTGTCAAGCAGCGTGATTACGCTGGGAAAGAGCCTGATGAGACAATTAAGCTGCATAAACACACCGACAACAAATGGAAGCCAGCGGACGCCCACGCCCCGGCGGGGAGCAGGTTTCTGTTTGCATGAGAACCAGAGGCCTGAGCGCTTTCAGACCGCCGCGCCATTCATGTCTGCAAGAACCTAATGGCTATATATATATATATATATATATATATATATATATATATATATACTTTTTTTTTTAAATGAATTTTCGGTGCGATGATAGTCACCATCAAAGCCTGAGCTACCCATGAGTTCTGTGCTTCCTAGAGACTTGGGTGCTTAGGCCACCAACCCTAGTGTCCGGGCCGCCGGGGGATGGATGGGTGGGTGGAGGGCGCGTGGCTGGCACCCAGTGCTTTCAGCTTACGCTTAGTGTTTGTCTCAGAGGCGACCCCCCTTTCTTGAAGTGTCCCCCACAGGGAGCGCAGTGCCCGACACCAGATGACCTCTGTCCAGTGGTTGTGGGATGAGATCACGAGGACTGCATTCATTCTTAGGCATGATATGTGAAAAGGCCAGAACAGGATGGTCTGACCTCAAACACGGGTGTTCTTATTATGTTCAGTTATTGAAGTTTCCTCACGTCAGGTCCTCTGAGGTGTGGAAAGATAACGGGCTGAAAAATGCCTTTTTGGAATACTAAGGAGAATCAGAGCAACTTCTAACATGTGAGACATTAACCCATCTTCAACAAAAGGATCAGTCCCTTTCTCGGCATTACTGAGTCACATGCCAGAGTCCATGTCAGCCTTCACAGGTCAAGGTCCAGAGTCCCGTGAAAAGCTTTGCAAGTGATTTAGAAATTTTGGCGATCATGGTGCTGGAGGAACATTGTCAAATAGTTGTCATGGAAAGCTCCTGAGTGAGCCCCTTTATTTCTTTTTTCTAGAGGAATCTTGTGTGTGTGTGTGTGTGTGTGTGTGTGTGTGTGTGTAGGAATCAGCATATTAAATGATCTCCTTCATTCCTCTTTTTATTTATTTATTTATTTATTTATTTATTTATTTATTTATTTATTTATTTTTGCTAAGTTTCATTTAACAATTATTACACAGAGTAGACCCGGAAAACAGGGGAAAGCTGAGGAAGACCATGCTTACAAGAGAATAACATACTTTCATGGAAGTTTCACTGGCAGGACAGCATTGAGACTGAATAAGTTGAAGGGTATATTCTAGAGTTGTTCCTGCGTTCCTCTGTTCGTCTGTGCGAGGCCACATACACAGTCTCCTGAGGAGTCACCCTGAGGTTCTATTATCCAGGTGCTCCCTGAGGAGTGAGAGTGGCGTGTTAATGTTATGGCTATCTGGCTTTCAGAGAGCTATGATTTTTTTGATGGTTAATACGCATGAACATATGAATGAACTGTAGAGGCAGAAATGAGGGCTCCCTTTTCTCCCATTCCAGGAAAAGCCAGCATGTCTTCCTCCAGTGTGGGGCGCCGCTTGGCTGCCTGTTTACTCAATGTCTCGGAAGCCAGGAGGAAAGACGTGGTTGAGAACATCGCCAAAGCAGCTCTTCTTGGGGAAAACGGTAGGAACCACAGACAACGGAAGTGAATGTGCAGTGTTTTGATGATATGGTGATTTTTGTGCTCTGCAGACAGTATCTATACAACAATCTCCGTTCTCTGTGGGTCCCCATACTCCCTCCCACCCAACTCCCCATTCCCGGGCTGCAGCAGGCCTCCAGGATACTGAGGCAGAGCGGTGAGGCAGATGTGCACATGTGGTCTTCGCCAAACGTGCAGTTATTGACAGTGGAGAGCGAGTGTCTGAAATGTGCAGGATACCGGCACACTCCTGAGGAGGATATAGTTACAGAAAGGTTAAATGTTCCCCTCACAGGCCGTTTATTTGGTCATTAATAGAATGAGCATAATTGGACATTATGCTTTTTATTCAGCAAGTTACATTAAAAAATAAACTTGCCAAGTACCAGCCACTTTTCAAAGTACTCCCACCAGCAAAGCCCTTGCTGTCATTACGGCACTATTATTCCTATTACATATTCTCCCGGTAAAGAAAGGCTTTTAGGCAATTGCATCTAAGTGATGTGCGTGAGATCACTTAGCGATGCAGGAGACGGGAGCCCCAGCCTCCTTGCTGTGGGGGCCAGTGTTGACTGTGAGAGATACTGCTCTCCTTTTTTACATTTTATTTTTTATTTTTTCACCCTTGTTGAAATGTTCCTGGGATGACAGAGTTCTAGGCATCATTTGTTTTTACACACACGCACACACACACACACACACTCACACACACACACACACACACACTCACACACACACACATACACACCACAGTGAGTTTACAGACATACCGTTGTTCAAATAGAAAACTTTGTTATTAAATGAAGATTTTTCGGCCACAGGTGAGCATTAGGATCGCAGCCCTACAGCACTTCAGACAGTGCGTTTTAATGTCTGACCGTCATTTTTCGTTTAGCAACTGCTTTTCATGAGACACAAGTGTTTCCTTCGGCCCATTTCTACCGATGAGCACAGTTAAATGTCTTGCCGCCGTACAGGAGCTGGAAATGTCTACGAACGTTCCTGATAATTGCTGATAAGAAAAAACACCTCAGGAGTCAGCCAGCGGTGCTTCTGCATCCTCTCTGTGGGAACAGCCCACCCGGGCCCCTCATTGTCAGACAAGAACATCTAATGGGATCGGGTTACCTGTCCCTGTGATTAAGTGAATGTGCCCAGACATTTGGGGAAGCCACACGCTGATGGATGCCTTGTCTCAGCTCACGGTTTTTATCAGCTTATTAGTGGCAGCCGCTCAAATGGAATTATAGCTATTATACTCCATTACAGACACCAAACAATTTACTTCTGCTGCGATTCAGACCGACAGTTCCTCCTGCCAGCAGCAATTTTTTTTTCCCTTTTCTATATGCATTGCTTAAGAGATTGCAGGAGAGAACGTCTCATTCTCTCAGCATTTGATTCAATTGAGTCCTATGAAACTGAGAATAAAAGCTTTTCAGAGGAAGATGTAGGGGGGAAAAATAAAATCACATTTAAAAAAAAAAAAGGAGATTGTAGGGTCTGGTTCTCGCCTCCTCTGATACAGTTATGAAAATGCAGGCCAGTAGCACTAGCTTAGAAAATGACCTATTGTTTTACAAGCACTTTCAAGGCATTTATTTTTCAGCACGTGGACTAAACCGTATCACCTACAATTTTCCCAATTAAGTAATGTTGAAGCATTTAAATGGCCTAACAGGTCTAAGGTAAAGAAACCCGGGTTATAAATGTCAGACCTACACCAGGGCAGGGCTGGACACGAGTCGATGCTCGTTTGGCTAAGAGCGAGTGACATTCTGTACGTTTATCTTTTAAAGTTGTTAAAGTTAATGGCATGGGGCCGCCATAAAAGCTGGGTAGTGCCTGCGTGCAACTTCTTTTTCCTCTCTTCTGAAAAGATTAATTGTTAAGCTGCCAGGGGAGGGGGGACAAAGGTATAATGGCACGGCGAGCGATTTAATGACCGCCTGAGAACGTTTGTCCTTTCTCTTTGAATTGGCTTTTGCAGGCTTCAGGGGGACTTTTAAGGGGCCTGAACCAGGCTTGTAAACTTCAGAAATAACCGGGGAGTTGTGTGTGGCTGCGTGCGGGGTGGGGCAGCTTTCTCCCCCGGGTTTCACGTTCCACGCGAGTCACAGGCCACGGAGGGCTGGAAGCCATTAGCACCAGAGGGCCGTGGTGGCCTCCGAGGAGGTGTTGGAGTCGGAGCGTCTACGACAGACAGGTGCATGCATCCTGGGAGCCTCTGCTTCAGGCACTAGTTGGCCCATCCTCGTTCTTCCAGAGAGCCGGTGTTTATTCAGATAGGTTGATTTCTGGGTTTAGGAAGGAAACATGGATAAGGCCTGAAAGATGAGACTGAGAAAGAACCGGATTTGGAGTGACACGGTGTGGCAATTGAAAGAAGAGGCTACCATCTTTGAGTGGAGACACAGAGACCAAAGCCCAGTGTCTGAGCTGAGCCGTCCGGCTGCGGTGGAAGATGCCGTAAGGGGGCGCATCCCTACCCAAGGGATGTCGTGGTTAGCTGTTGTCACCTCAAAGGTCACAGCCCAGAATGTCTCTGTTGAACAAATTTAATTGTATCAGAAGTGAAGTATTAAGGCTTCAGCAGAGAAAACTAATTCTCGCCTTTATATTTTTTCCTTTACAGGGGAGAAACGTCCTGAAGTGTCAGTGCTCAATATATTTTCTGATCAAGACTACAACAGATCAGTCATTACCATAGCAGCTTCTGTTGATGAATTAAGTGAGATTGCAGTTTCTTTCTTCATGTTTATAAGTATATGTATACGTATATGTGTATGTATATGTATATGTATATGTATATGTATGTGTATGTGTATATGTATGTATATGTACATGTATATGTATATATGTCTGTGATGAAGGGTAGCTTCAGGTAGGCCTGCATGCTCTCTACTCATTGATTTCCTGTGCCATAGGAATAGTCCATTCCCTGGAGAGTCTACCTCAAAACTGCATTTCATCATTTTTTCTGAACATACACATCTCAAACATTTCCCATTTCCTCTTCATTACAATGAACCTGGGTCCAAGAGTTAATACCTCTTCCAGCCCCCATCCCCTACCCCCCCCAAAAAAGATGGTCACATGTACTTTATGGTTAAGAAAAGCAATCTTCAAGTTTTGACCTGTGGAGTCATAGTGTTGAAGTCAGCCTTGATTTCAGTGATAAGTTGACTTAGAAGGAAACATGCTAAGCAGTTGTGTTTTGGGTTGGGAGTTGGAAATCTTGAGTTGGTTCATGGATTGCAATGACATGTCTCATGTTGTAAGTTTAGTGGGACAAGTTGAATTTGAAGGATCATAGCTGTTTAAACAAAAACTTGTATTATCTTAATATTGCTTAGAAAAGGGCTCCAAAATATTTTTAAATAGATTTTATTTCAACTCAGATTATCTTTTTTCAAAAGGTATGTTTGAAGAACTAATGTTTGGCTGATAGCTCCCGGCAAACAGGACAAATTATCTTGAGTATTAATCATAAGATGTACAATTTGCTTCTTTGTTGTTTATCTTCTTGTTGAAATGGTCATACTGTACTGCTAATGAAAACTCAGAGTAATATAACTCTTAGGTGTCTATCATATAAAATGATATAAAATTTTAGATGATAAAATTTTAGATGTTAGTTGATATAAAATCTTTAGTAGTTAGATGATATAAAATCTTTGAATGCAAAATCTTTTGAATGCAAAATCTAATTACTGGAGAAAAGAAAAACAAAAATAAATACTTAATGCTTTTAAAACTTTGTATATATTTAATATAAACTCAAAATTAGAAGTTTTATCAGATTAATTTGATAAAGTTGAAAATATTTAAAGTAACCAGTTGTAAAAACAAATAAACAAACAAACAAATGAAAAAGCCCACAGAGGTGCCCTAGCCAGTTTGGTTCAGTAGATAGAGCATTGCCTGCGGATTGAAGGGTCCCAGGTTCGATTCTGGCCAAGGGCACATGCCCTGGTTTCAGGCTCGATCCCCAGCAGGGGGCATCCAGGAGGCAGCCAATCGATGATTCTCTCTCATCATTGATGTTTCCATCTCTCCCTTTCCCTTCGTCTCTGAAATGAATTAAAAAAACAAACCACAAACAAAGAAAAACACACAGACGTGTTTAAGAATCATAAACATTGCATAACTCCTCTACATTGGAGAATAAATGTGAAAAAATGCGAACCTTTATGATGTTTGGGAGGTAGGGCAAGGGGAGATGTTGGGTCTTTATTTTTGGGTGAAACACATCTTCTATACTGATTACAAAAGAAAAACAACTAGCGGGACAATAAAATACAGCTGCTTCTTTACCCCTGTTGGAAAGTTTAATGATTGTTTTGTACAATTTTGCCTTTTAAGACCATGCTGTCCTGGGCGCCTGTGTGGAGGCCTTCCGGGCTATCGACATGGAGGCTCAGGAGGGGATCCACCCGTGTCTGGGAGCCGTGGACCTGATCCCCATTTACCCGCTCGCCGGTGTGGGAGTGGAAGAGTGTGGAGCCTTGGCCAGAAGTAAGAGAAAGTTGGGGGCAATGTGTTACTTCTTAACGGAAACCATTTGTACAAATCAGAGCAGCTCCTGACAATGGAATCGCTCCCAGCTCCGGGGAAAGGTCTGCCTTGAGGACGGGTCTGAACAGTGAGCTTTGATGGTCGCAGTGGCTCGTTGTGTCTCTGTGGCATCCTTCCTGTGTCCACGCCGGGGCGCGGGACCACCGACTGCTGTGGGATGCATTTGTCCTTTCCGAATTCAGGGTGGATCACGGGGAAGCAACAGTCGTTGCTAATGAGCTCCTTAGACTCTCTGGGGCAGGACGGTGCTGTGCCTGCCCATCTGTGTCTTATTTTCCTGAGCAGGGGTAATGATGAGGTTGCAAAACCACTTAAATGTTAACTCCTACCCCCTCTCGCTCTGACTTTTTTTTCTCTCCCCGTGCACGACTCTCTTTAAGATTTTCTTTAGAACTGAACTGTCACATGCTTGATTTCGGCCCCGGGGGTGAGTTTAATTTGGAAAATGTGAGCTATGTCACTGGAGGTGTTTTGGAATTAGGCAAATTGGGAGAAAAGAAAGACCCTTTGCCTGGACTGTCTAGCTGCGCCACGGTTAATTACGGCACGCAGAGGCTCGTAACCTGTGGGGGAAAGTCCGCCTCAGGATAATTGCATTCTTCTCGGTATGGCCCCAGGAGCCCCTCATTCTTATTTAATAGTGAATCGTCTCACGTTTGGGATGTGGATTTGGATCCTGGCTGAGCTGCATCAGGCACTGGGCATGGGAAATGAGACTCGTTTGTGAAGGAGAACTCACTGCTGGGCTGCACTTTAATATGGCCTGACAGTCAAAGGTTTGCTTCGCAGGGAAATCTTGGCCCGAAATGTGCTTTACTTTTTATCCGAGAAAGAGTTAAAAAATTTAACATGGGGCGGAAAATATGATTCACACACAAAAAAGAAGAGTTCTCAGTTGTCCAGGGCAGAATAATGATTTTAATTGTCTTCAAAACAATTACGTCCAATTACATTAAATCTCAAATTAGCTAGTACACGAAGTTCTTCATTACATCAGGACGAGTCTGCCCAGATGTGCATCCTGCAAGGGAGACGGTGAGCCATCGGAGGGTCTGGACACACGGTCGCTCCCTTCCCCTGCCCTGTGCTTCATTGGCAGCTACTGTACCTCATGGTTTAAACATGGACATTTCCAATTAAACAAGAGCTCAGCTGCATTCCTGAACTAATTTATAACATTTGATTTGAAATGTAATAGCTTCAATCTTCATCTGATTAAAAACAGTCATATACTGTACATGGTTACTATTTTGATGCTCCAACATGCAGTTTTTATTTTTACATTCCCCTTTCTGCACAGCTGTTCATCTAATATCATCCAATTTTATTTTTTTTAACAACATGCTCAGACGTTCTTATAAGGCAAAAGTATTCAAATTCTAAGGACTGGCTGTTCTCCAGACGGTGAAGGGTTGTTTTCCACTAGGGTAGCCCTCCTCAGGGAAGCCAACTTGAAGTTAATAATGGAACTAACTTTCTTTGGGACAGAGGGCAGTGGAGAACAGTCCAGTTTCATAAAAAATAATTGATATTGGTTATTGATATTGATAATTCATAGGTGTTTTATATGCAAAAACCCACTGAATAATATATTTCAGATCTTTTTGATGCCAGGAAGGGGTTAAAGTGGGGCATGAAATTGGTGTTGAGGAAACTTATAAATACTGTCAGAATCACATGAAGATTTTTATGCCTGTGCTTTTTTGTATACACATACTCTCACACATAACTTCACAAGTCATTTTAGTTTAAGGACTTTTAGATAAAGGGCACAGCAGTGCGGAGGCTCCGGGGTGAGGGCAGCCTGAGCTCCGGGGACTGCGAGGGACTTCCATGTGTCGCCAGCACGTAAAGGTGGAGGGAGATGGGAAAGGCATTCCTGGAATGTTCAGGTATAAAATCCAAGAGATGCTTAGCGGTCAGATTGTGGGGTATTATGTGCCAGATGAAGGAGCTCGAACTTGTATGGGAGCCACTGAAGAGTTTTAAGCAAGAACATGATCTGATTGGCTTTGAGCTCAGGAAGGATCACGCTGCCCGCATGACAGAAAATAACAGGATGCAGGAGGATCAGTTTGGAAAGTGGACTGTGGCCGAAGGTAATAGATGATGGAGAGACTCCAGAGGATGTTGGGGGTGGGGAACAAAATGGTGGCATGGAATTGTCATCACTTAGAAATGATGGAAGAAAGGAGGTTTTGGGGGAGAGGGCATGAGTGTTTTTTACAAGCTGCTATTGGCAGTTTAATATACTAGAGTTGACAGCTAGGAGACACATAGGCCTACTCTGTATTTATTTAAGGCTTACTGTATTTTTCTAAATGTTTTGGACTTTTATGTTTATCTTATTATTTTTAATCTTTATTGTTGAGATTATTACAAATGTCCCTCTTTTTCCCCCCATTGCACCCCTCTACCCAGTTCCCCCCTAACCATCCTATTGTCTGTGTCCGTAGGTAATGCATATATGCATATAAGATCTTTGTTTAATCTCTTCCCACCCCTCTTCCCTCTGAGAATCATCAATCTGTTTCACTCCCATGCCTCTGACTCTATTTTACTCACCAGTTTATTCTGTTCATTAGATTTCTTTTTTTAAAATATTTTATTGATTTTTTACAGAGAGGAAGAGAGAGGGATAGAGAGTTAGAAACATAGATGAGAGATAATCATTGAGCAGATGCCTCTTGCATATCCCCAGTGAGTACATGCCCTTGACCGGAATCGAACCTGGGACCTTCCAGTCAGTAGGCTGATGCTCTATCCACTGAGCCAAACCGGTTTTGGCTCATTAGATTTCTTACTCATTTATTTTAATTTTGACATTTAGTTGTTGATAAGTATGTATTTGTTGCCATCTTGTTGTTCATATTTCTGATCTTTTTCTTTTTCTTCTTATTCCTCTTAAAGAATATCCTTCAGCATTTCATATAATTCTGGCTTAGTAGCGATGAACTCCTTTAACTTTTACTTGTCTACGAAGCTCTTTATCTGACCTTCAATTCTAAATGATAGCTTTGCTAGGGAGAGTAATCTTGGTTATAGGTTCTTGCTATTTATCACTTTGAATACTTCTTGCCTGCATAGTTTATGTTGAGAAATCAGCGGACAGTCATATGAGCATTCGCTTGTAGGTAACTAAGCCTTTTTCTTGCTGCTTTTAAGATTCTTTGTCTTTAGCCCTTGGAATTTTAATGATGATGTGTCTTGGTGGGATCCTCTTTGGGTTCCTCTTGTTTGGAGTTCTCTGTGCTTCCTGGACTTGTAAATCTATTTCTTTGACCAGGTGAGGGGAAGTTTTCTGTCACCATTCCTTCAGACAGGTTTTCAGTATCGTGTTCTCTCTCTTCTTCTGGCACCCCCATAATGCGAATGTTGGTACACTTGAAGTCGTCCCAGAGGCTCCTTACACTGTCTTCATATTTTTGGATTCTCTTTTGTTTTGCTCATCTGATTGGGTGTTTTTGCTTTCTCATATTTCAACTTGTTGATTTGATTCTCAGAATCTCTACTGTACTGTTGAATCCCTGTATTTTATTTTTTATTTCAGTCAGTGTATGCTTGATTTCTGATTGGTCCTTTTCCATTTTTTTTTTTTGGAAGTTTCTAAAGATTATTGAGTAACCTTATAACTGTGGTTTTTGAATTCTATATCCAGTAGTTTGCTTTCTTACATTACTTTCATTTGTGATATGTTTCTTTGTCTCCACATTTTGCCTGTTTCCTGTGTTTGTTTCTATGTATTGGGTAGAGCTGCTATGTCTCCTGAAGTGTGGCCTTGTGTAGTAAGTGTTCTGTAGGGCCCAGTGACTCAGCCTCCCCAGTCACCTGAACTGGGAGCTCTAGGTGCACCCCTTTGTGGGCTGGGAGCATAATCTTGTTGTAGCTGATACTTGATTCTTCTAGAACTCTCTGACCTATTCCAATTAGAAGAAAGGGGAAGGGCATTACACTGCTATTTAAGCAGACTTTCCACCAGTGTCCCTGTTTTGATATTTGCCTTTACTTCCCTAAGTTAGGTTAACAGTTTCAGGTGCCTGTGGCATAAGTGAGGTCGCTGCTATTTCTCTTGCTGACTTGAGGCTCTTAAGTAACCACCCTTTATCTGCTCTTCACGTTCCAATGCTATTACTTTCTCTTATTTTTCTGTTTATTTGAATGAGTCAAAGGTCTAAAAAATACCTCTTTACCATCCTTTTCCTGGGGTTCTTGGGAGGAGGAAAGTAAATGTGGGGATCCACACTCCCATCTGCTTAGAAGTCTCCTCTTCTCTAGTTCTTTATGGTTTTTAATTATCTTGGATGCTTCAAGAACAATGAATTCACCTAATTTGATATCAATGGTGAATTTACAGGAACATTATCCTTTTGTCTGACATCCAACCCAATATTGAAGATATTTAGCCTCATTTCCTGGACTTGTACACGTTTTTTACTGACCACTTTTCTGAAGGATTCTTGAGGTCATAGTGCTTCCTATATATTCTCCACTTCTTCCTTACCAGCGTTTGCCCGGGCAGGAGCCAGTGTCTCTGGACATGACCCTGTTTCCCATTTACATGCAAACCTTCAGGAGAAGGATAGAGTGAAAATGGAGTGGGGAGAGAGGGTCAGGGAAGAAGGTGCCTACAAATCTCCCAATGATTTACCCATGAAAATGGCTTTCCTAACATGGAAGTTCACAGTAGGCAGCTTTAAAAGTCTGGACCATCGCTGTGAATTTTGTCACTAATATGGAAACTTGCTTTTTGTTTTATGTCACTCATCAAGTGAAATAATGTTTGTACAATACTATTTACTTCTTTTTGTTAATCCTCACCCAAGGATATTTTTCTGTTCATTTTTAGGGAGAGTGGAAGAGAGGGAGAAAGAGAGAGAAACATCAATGTAAGAGAAACACATCGATTGGTTGCCTCCTGCACAGGCCCCAACTAGGGCCCA